CGAACATTTTGTTTTTCTCGAATATAAAGTGGTTATGTGGTTTTCTTGTTTTCTTTAACAAAAATACACATTTATCTGTAATTACTTTCAATTATTTTAAAATTTTTATTCATTTTTGAAGCCGATATTTATTTTTAAATAAAAATATTCAATGTCGGGTAATGTGGACCACTATAAAAAAGTGGGACATTTTCATGAGGACGAGTTCGAAACAAGGGCGCATTTAATATACGAGGAGGTATTCTATCCTCTGAAAACTCGATATCAGAAATTATAAGTGCCTCGGTAGGATAATGAAGCAAGGACCTTCAAAATACCGCAAATGGGGCGGTAACCTTAAATGGGGGCTATTCCAAAACATGGACCCATATATTTCTGCATTCATTGTTACCCAAGTGTGCAATAAATTGAAATTTATCACAATTAATCCACAACCTACCTTTAACTTACTGATCCTCATTACCCACACATACTGGTCCACATTACCCAAGTTATTTTTATTTGCAGTTTAGAGTTTTTTGAAATATAATGCAATTTTTTATGGACAAATATATATAATTTTTGACCTGGAATATAATTAGCCAACAAATCTACCATGTTGTGAAAACAATTTGTTTTTATTTTTTCCGTTGTTACGCCCACAACATCAAAAAAAGAAAATGGTGGTCCACATTACCCGAAGTTACTCTATATATGTCTTGGAGCTAGCGTAAGGGAGCCCATGTTATGTCTCTTCTCTGAGAGTAGACTTAAATCATTATTTACTTAGATACAATTATGAACAGTAGCCGTGACTGGCTTGTGTTCGCATTAAGAGTTCTGCACCGTCGTATATGACATAACCCTCAAGCAAAGGTTCCGCTCAATTTTAAGTATTTTGTAGGCCTATTAAAACATTTTTTTTCAATATAATTCTCCGTTATACACAGACAACTTTTTTATTGAATTTTTTTTTTAATAATTTCATTTTTTCCATGTTGTACCTTGCTTCGAATACAAGTTACAATTCCTAAAATCATGTGAAAGTCACTATTTCTTCAAAAAATGTAAACATTTCATTAGTATCAAAACTATTTTCTTACTTCGTTCTACTTTACCATTATTTACGATTATTTTTCCTCTCTCTAGCGCTCTCTTTGCAACAACAAATGTATTTCTCCCAAGAAAAAAAAAAACACCACCACAACCACCATTGTGGTTCCGTTCTCCACCCTCCCCTCATTTCGTGTTTGACTACTGACTACTGTTGCTAACAACTACGGACTTTCCACTCACTCGATTGTAACTAGTTTTGTAATTCTTTGTTTTACCGACCTATGTAGTTACAAATTTCGCATTTGTATTTTCCAAATTATTTCGAAATAAATGACGACTATCATATATCAAACAAACGTTGATACGAACAACAAGCACAATCGTAGTACATAAGGAGAAACGAGACAAAACATAACGAAGAAGTAGAAAACATAGAATAACAAGTAAGGAAAGTAGTAAAGTCGGACGGGCCGACTATATGATACCCTTCACCACTATGGGTATATTAAACAGGACAATTAACATGAAATTGGATGAACTAAAATATGTGATATTTATCTAAATATGAATCAACGTAGATCAATATATAAGCATGACATTTGTTTGTTACAATGGGACAAATGTTGGGGCGTTGGGCTATGTCTGCACTTCTAGAAAACGCAACTACCTTATTCTATGCTCAATTTTGTACGTTGTGCAAAATTTCATGTCAATCTGACAAACACCATTTGCACCGTTTACTTAAAATCGGACGAAAATATATGTGGAATCTATATCCAAATATGAACCGATTTCAACGAAACTTGTCCCAGGTTCGGTTATACTAATTTCAGTACGTTTTGTTCCTATTAACCATATATTGGTTCCTTGGTGCGTCAATTACTTAAAATCAATCGATCTATGCAATATTAGAACTTTGGTACATTATTTACATTAAATCTGACGGAAATACATACATCTTAATCTGAACCGATTTTCACGAAACTCAGCACACATCATTCCAGGCTCAATCCAGTATGCTATACCAAATTTCGTGCAAATCGAAAGATTTATAGGGACTTTGGTGAATCTTTACATAAAATCGGACGAAGCTATATCTAATTCTCGACCAATTTTCACAAAACTTCGCATAAAGCACTCTAGGCTCAATTAAGTACGTTATGCCAAATTTTGTGCAAATCGAAAAATATTTAGGGACTTTGGTGCACAATTTACCTTAAATCGTACGAAAATATATATGGGAGCTATATCTAAATCTGAACCGGTTTTCACGAAACTTAGCACACATCATTCTAGGCTTAATTCAGTACACTATGCCAAATTTCGTACAAATCGAAAGACATATAGGGACTTTGGTGCACCATTTACATGAAATCGGACGAAACTAAATATGGGAGCTATATCTAAATATATACCGATTTTCTCGAAACTTGACAGACATCATTCTAGGCTCAATTCAGTACGTTATGGCAAATTTCGTGCAAATCGAAAGATATATGGTGCACCATTTACATGAAATCGGACGAAACTATATATGGGAGCTATATCTAAATCTGGACCGATTTTCACGAAACTTGGCAGACATCACTCTAGGCTCAATTCAGTAGGTTATGCCAAATTTCGTGCAAATCGAAAGATATATAGGGACTTTGGTGCACAATTTACATGAAATCGGACGATTTTCACGAAACTTTGCGGACATCATTCTAGGCCCAATTCAGTACGTTTTACCAAATTTCGTGCAAATCGAAAGATATATAAGGACTTTGGTACACCATTTACCTTAAATCGGACGAAAATATATATGGGAGCTATATCTAAATCTGAACCGATTTTCCCAATTTCAATAGGGTTCGTCCTTGGGCCAAACAAATGAGCTGTGCCAAATTTCATCCAATTCGAATCATAAATGCGACCAGTACTTTGCTCACAAAAATACATGGACAGACGGACGGACATGCTTAAATCGACTTAAAAAGTGATTCTATGCATATTCTCAAAAGGAACCATGGGTCTATCTCGTTTCCTTTTGCCTGTTACAAACATATGCACAAAGACATAATACGCTGTACCACAGTGTGGTGAAGGGTATAAAAATGGAAATATTAAAACGACAAATAAACACACGCTCCAAAGTTATTGTTTCACTCTCTCTGACAAGAAATCAGTATTTTAAACTTCCAATCATAAAATGCAAAATGAATTCCAATCATAAAATGCAGAAATTCATTTCATCGTATTGTATTTTTTCTGTGTATTTATGCGGTCTTATCCATTTTTTTGCTTTATTCATTCTAATTGTATGTATTTTGAAGGCTCTAGCCGCGATTTTAAGGCGAAGTTTCATTAAAATTTCGCTCATACAATGTAAGTACTCTTAGGATATATTGGTATTGAAAATGGGATGTATCGGTCCACGCTTTAGTATAGCGTCCACATAAGAATTATTTTGCATTATGGGAATATTGAAAGATTTTTCATTGGTCAGCAAATCCTTCTACCAAAAAGTAAACATTTTAGAGCAGATCCCATATGACGATTTGAGTAATTTGGTTAGATTGGTCACGTTTTTCATCAAATTTCAAATTTTCAGTATGTGTTTCTTTGCGATTCAGGTACTATATTTACATTATACAGGTTTAATTAATGTAATGGCTTGCTCCAGTAACGTACACAAGATTTCTTTCGTTACGGTGGAAGAGGGCGTGTTTGGATGAAATCGGTACTTAGTATTATTGGTATTTATTTTCAGAATTGATCCACCTAAACTTTAAGAATTCTATAGATAGAATTCCATAGCCCAATAATTGAAGTCTATAGCCATCCCTTTTAGACTTTCTGAAATCGATAATTCTATACCCTCTACCACACGGAATGACAATATTAATTTTGTCCTTCCGTTTGTAACTCATCGAAATATTCATTTCCGACCGTATAACGTATATATATTATTGAAGTAGGGTGCCGAAATTTTGCACAAGGTTGTATTTTGTCTGCAGGCAGGTCAAGTTCGAAGATGGGATATATCGGTCCACGTTTAGTTATAGCTTCCATATAAGGGTATCCCCCAATTTTCGGTTTTTTGGGGGGTCTTTAGCTCTTTTTACAAACGAATTCGCTGATATTTGTTGTCATACATGATAGCAAATCTACCTACCAAAAATTATTAATATTCGCCCCCTTTTTGGGGTAGTCCCCATATAACCCCCCTTTTTATATTCAAATAGTTATATGATTTGTTCCGCGTTTTGGATTTTGGTTCTAAGACTCTGTTGTAAGCATTTCAAGGTTCGATAATGATCTATAGCCCGCATTTAAGCCAAGCCCTAGCCCCTGTGTGGGAGGTAGCAGAAGGCGTGGACCAATATTCCCCATTTTCGAACTTCAACTATGTTTGGAAGAAATAATAAGATGTGCAAAGTTTGGATGAAATCCAAATTTTTGAAACAGATTTTATACAAAGAAACATGGGTCTAGAACTAATATTTCGATGAGGCAACTTTTCACCGTATCAAAGTGTATACACCCTCATTAGCCGTAAGGCTAACGGTATAAAAATCCATTAAAAATTGCTGAAATTTGTATTTAGTACACTTTATGGTTTACATAATCGGTTTGAAGAAATATCGGTATAGGTCCACTTTTTGTATGTTCCCTATAATTTCTTCTAAAGTAAATAGTAAATAACTATCTATGGTGGAGGGTATCCAAAGTTCGGTCCGGCCGACCTTAACGCTTTTTTAACTTGTTAAACTTTGATTAGGTGGTTCCCAGTAGTTCCCTGGTCCTTTAAGGTTGTAGGTATAGTAGTATCTTAATATCTTATCTGTCTCAACGCCTTGAAGTCAATGTATAATTCATGTGGTCGACTTAAAATTATTTGGAGAAAAAATACTAAACGTATTAATATTTCATCGAATATTTATATAATGTGTTTTAAAAATCTAACGTTTACACGTTTTCAGGCCTGAAACTCGTGTGGAACTGATATTCGAAGAATTGGAAATACCCATGGTTAATGACAGGTATTTATTAGCCCCAAAATAAAATAAAATCTATATCAATCTCTTGAAACTAAAAATATATTTTATTTATTAAATAATTTCCAGTTGCAATTTAGACAAACTAACCATATTCGATGCTGAATCCCTCAATATGAACGCTGTCATCGATGTCCTGTGTGGCAATTCGTCGAGTGGTACTAGGCATATCCTCAGCACCGGACCGGATCTTTTAATTGAATTCAATGCAAGTTCTAATGTAACGGCAAAAGGTTTTCGTGGTAAATTCAAATTTATACCGAATAATGAAATTATGGAAATGAAGAAGGCGAACAAAGCTACAGGTAAATCGATGAAGGGGGGAAATGGAAATTCAATTCATGGGATTTTATTTTGTGGGATGAGAGTACGTTTTGTAAAATGATTGACCATTTGTGTCTAATTTTGTTTTTTTCTTTTCACTTCCTCCAAATAATAGATATACCATTTGTGGCGGATATGTATAGTGGTGGGGGTGGTAGTGGTGTCACGGCTGCAGGTGGTGGTACCATTATTGACAATAGTTTGGCTGGAATAAAAGTTGACAACAATGTCATGCGGAGCGGTGGTCTCACAACTGCACGAAAACAAAACTTAATGGCTTTCAATGCAATGGACAATGCCAAAGTTGTTAAAGGTTTTACAAAGGAAGGTAAGTTTTTATTGGCTTCTAAACTTTTTCTAAATCAATCAATTGAATATTTTATGAACGAACGGTGGACGTTATTTTTGTGCTCACAAAAAAGTTCAAAGTATTTACGATTTCGATTGGTCTAGAAATAAAAACAATAACAAAGTATCGCTTTATTTTGGAAAAGAATATCAAACGTTATTTGATTAACTAGATAGAATATCTTGTCGGGCAGTGGGCCATATTGTTGTTGGTTTCCAACCGGTTCCAGTCTAACATCTCTTTTTCACCTTATTATTTATTTTTGGAACATTCTTTTTAATTTCGTAATAAAGAATCGAAAATGAAATTAAAATTAATACAGACTATATTCAAATTTTTAATTTTATTCAAAACATAGAAATGTTAGGAAACCGGTCTAATGTTATGGTTGAATCTTTCTATTCAATTGTATGCGAAAAACCTTCATAAATAGTGTCTAGTTTTTAAATACTAAAGTTTGATAGATGCATGCGTCACAAACGTGGCTAGATTTGGATAAAATAAAAGTGAAAGTTCAAAGTTTAATAACCCATACATTTAGAAAAATTCTAATAATACTGAAATGATATAATTTCCAATACTTGGGTGGAGAATTTAAAAAATTAATTAATAAAAAGAAAAATTGTATTTCAAAACTCCAAGCCTAATAATAATAATATTTTATATTGTTCACTATGTGTAATTACACCCTGCACAACTATGGCGTCAGGGTATTATAGCTTTGTGCAACCCCAAGAGTTTGAAACACTGCGAAATATTGATCCTATACCCACTTTAAGTATACCCATCGTCATAGCTCGACTAGCTGAGTCGATCTAGACATGTGCGTCCATCCGTCCGTCTGCCCATTATAATTTGTAAACATGATACAGGACATAGTTATGGACCAATCTTCACGAAATTTTGCATGCAGAATGAGTTCTGGCCAATGAAGACCGGTTAATAATTACAAGGTGAAGTAGATCAAATCCTTAATTTTTGTCGGGTTTTCTGGTCGCTCCACAGGCTGCAATTTTGGCCCGAACATCGCGAAATTTTACATTGAGAAGAGGATCGAGCCAAAGAATAAGCATGCGTGTTTGGTAAAGATTGGTCAAATGGACCCTGACTTTTGTGTGAAAAAAATTACAAAATTTGTATTCTATGGCGTATTTATTTACCCCTGAAGGACATAGACACGAGCAGATGATAGTTTATCCAAGAGGAGTGGTTGACCTTTAAATTGATATTATCGTATGAACTCGGATATGGGAGTTACACGTAAATATGTACAGGTGTTTACTTATTTACCACGCTAGAGGGCGAAAATATAGCTCTTATCGCTTTCTTATGGTCAAGGACAACACATATAGTTTTCGGTGATGATCAGATAATAATTTTGGGAAGAAGTGGACCCAAAAAGTAATTCTATTGTTCTTTTTTCGAGTCGATCTATAGACCACAACACAACGGAAATATAGCTCTTATCGCTTTCAAATTTTCCTTGAGGTTCCAGTTATGGTCAAGGACAACACATATAGTTTTCGGTGATGATCAGATAATAATTTTGGGAAGAAGTGGGCCCAAAACGTAATTCTATTGTCCTTTTTTCGAGTCGATCTATAGACCACAACACAACTCATGGTGAAACGACTATTAGTATTCGGAAAATATGTCAGTGCAAGGAAGAGGTGCTGTTGACCCCTAATCGGACAAAAGGGTGCAAATATCACCAAAATATGCCCTGGCTCGGAAAAAACATCCGCATGGTCGGCTCCGTCCGACTATACTTCTTCGCTCACTGGTGTAAATAATATATCTTATGGAACCTCTATAGGCTTTGATTTTTTTAATAATATTTTGTAGGAACCTCTATAATAATATTTTCTAGGGACCCCTACAGGCGTGGATTTTTTTCAAATATAAATATTTTTTAGAGAACCTCCATTGGATTGGATTTTTGTAAATAATACTTTTTTAGGGACACCTATACGCGTGGATTTTTAAATAACAATTCTGGAGACCCCCATAGGCGTGGATTTTTAAATAACAATTCTGGAGACCCCCATAGGCGTGGATTTTTACATAACAATTCTGGGGACCCCTATAAGCTTGGATTTTTAAATAATATTTTTAGGGACCCCTATACGCTTAGATTTTTAAATAATATTTTTAGGGTCACCTACAGGCGTGGATTTTTTTAAATAATATTTTTTCAGACCACTAATGGCGTGGTCCCATATATAGTTTCGCCCTATTTTAGGTAAATAGTGCACCAAAATTCCAATATATCCTTAGATTTGCACGAATTTTGGCATAGCGTACGGAATTAAGTCTAGAATGACGTGGATATAGCTTCCATATATATTCTCGACCGATTTTAGGTAAATGGTGCGCCAAAGTCCCTGAAAATCATTCAATTTGCATGAATTTTGACAAACGTACTGAATTGAGTCTAGAATGAAGTGTGCAAAGTTTAGTGAAAATCGGTTCAGATTTAGATATAGCTCCCATATATATTTTCGTCCGATCTTATGTAAATGATGAACCAAAGACCCAAAGTTAAGCCGATTGACACAAAATTATACACAATGTACTAGAATTAGTGTAACCTTAAGTGTGGAATGTTTCATCGAAATCGGTTCAGATTCAGATATAGTTCCTTATATAATTTCGTCCGATTTTAAGTAAAATGTACATGTGCAACCAAAGTTAGGCCGTTTAACTCAAAATTTTGCTCAACTTACTGAAATTAGTGTACCCTAAAGTGTGTCTAGTTTTGTTGGAATCGGTTCAGATTTAAATAAAGCTCCCATATAAACTCACGTCCGATTTTAAGTACATGGTGCAGCAATGATACAAATTTGAGCCGATTGCCATAGAATTTTGCACAACGTACTGAAATTAGTATAGCCTAAGGTGTGCCAATTTTTATTGGAATCGGTTCAGATTTAGATATAGCTCTCATTTATATACTTTTATTATATTTTGTTTTTGCAAAATAGTCAGGCTTTGTTGTTTTTATTTATAAAAAAAAAAAAAACTATTTATAAGTGGGGAATGTATGGCATTGTCCGCCGAGGGGTATAGTTTCGGATCTCGCCACTGATCCTCATCAGTTCCCTTAATTTTTGTTGGGATATTCTCCCCAGAAGCTATTAATAGCTTCTTTACAAAAAACCTTTCAAACCCAAATGTCTCTTGTGACAATTCGAAGTTCTTACGTTACCAGCGACACGACCCCAATGAGAAGTTCGTTTCATTGGAGCCTGACTTCGTGGTCAACAAGCCATTTATAGACAACTACAATACATTTCCCACTGCTATGTGTCGTCACTTTGTTACGAATGCACATAACGTTGTTGTTGGTATTGCTAGTTAAAGCAATAAACCAAACAGTATGACCGTGCCTCGTCTACAACTTCAGTAGTGTTTGGCGGGTTATTTGGGATACCATTTGTATTTTGTTTTTGCAAAATAGTCAGGCTTAATCCCAGTTTGTTGTTTTTATAAAATAAAAAAAAAAAACAAATATTTATAAGTGGGGAATGTATGGCATTGTCCGCCGAGGGGTAAGGCAGGGAAAATACGAATGGCATCCCAAATAACCCGCCAAACACTACTGAAGTTGTAGACTAGGGAGCAGTATAGTCGGACGGGGCCGACCATATGAAATCCTACACAACTTCCACCAAGCTCTAATTTTAACCCATAAAATAACCCATTTAACCCATAAAATACAAATTTGGTCACCTTAGTTTGTGGTTGATTTGACCCTCGGAATATTGACAGATCATCATCTAAATAGCCGTTCTAAGTAATTGATCAGATTCCCTTCACCGTGTAAAATATGTGATGTCCTGCGTATAATAATGGCCTCTAGAGCGATTAGGAAAATTGACAAAAATAAAGATTTCGGTTTATTGCGCCATCTCAACATCACCGGAAATTATAGACATCGTCATTGGCCATAACCGGAACTGTAAAATGTAAAAAATCAAAGCGATCAGCGCAACATTTCCGCCCTCTAGTGGGGTAATTTTAGTACTAAACAATATAATAACACATAGACACCTTCAAATATTTACGTATAACACCCACATCGGAGTACATACGACAATATAATTGGTATCAATTTAAAGGCCAACCATTCCTCTTGGATATACTATCAACTTCTCGGGTCTGTGTCCTTCAGGTGTAAATATATACGACATAGAATAAATTTTTGTCATTTTTCACAAAAAAGTCAGGGTCCATTGGACCCTCTAAATAATGGCTGATCTTTATCAAAACAGGCATGCCATTCGTTGGCCCGGCCCCCTTATCCATGAAAAAATTCGCGATGTTTGCGCCATAATTGCGGCAATTGCGCCATAATCAGACAAAAATAAAGTTTTTCGGCCATTTCATCATAGATCGATGATCGGTATACTTAAAGGTGGGTCTAGAACAATATTTCGCGGCGTTACAAACTTTTGGGGCTGCACAAAGCTATAACACCCTTACAACATAGTTGTGAAGGGTATAAAAATTCCAAGCCTATAGTGGAGGTTGAAAGACATTATTTAAAAATCCAAACCTATAGAGGCGTTTAACAGAAAAACATAATCTAAACAATCCACGTCTATATTGGTCGTAGGAAAAATATTATTTAAAAAATCTATGCCTATGTTACAATAAAATGTAATAGTTTCAAATCCTACTAATTGTTATGAATTATTGTTCTGTCACTTATTATCATTCAACTATAGAACATTAACTAAATCCTTACAAGAGGCAGCCGTTATAGAAAGTTAACGAATATTTAAGCTCAACAATTTGTAGAATCACTTTTTATCCCAGCAAACATTGCCGAATAAAGAAAGACATCTTCAATAACCAACACCTGGATCAAAATGTTGGCATTAGCCCTTGTGTTACCCTTTATCCACTTAGACATTAACTTACATTTCACCCCTGGTTTTATACCTGTTTAGTTATAGGCCGATTTTCCTTAAATATGTTACACCGCACAAAGTTTAGTCCATATGCATGATATAAATGGACCTTATAGCTTCTTCGAGATTTGTAATTAGATTCGAAGCATACACTTCAGAACTAAATTTCCTATAGATCAATACGAATTTTATTTATTTTTCTGTTCTCGTGAGGCACAACCTCCCAACCAAATTTTCACATTAACTTATCACTTTGAACAACTTCACTGGGATAACAGAAAATCAGAACCCCTAGTTTTACACTACCAACTTGCTCGCAAATCCCTCTTGTCGTACGGCATCACAAGCATCGGGTGCGAGCACTGATGTTTGGCCTTAATTTTAAACGGATACGGAAATGAAAACCACAGCTACGGATGTGGTTGTGTTTTAGTTTCTTGTACACTGCCACAGTAGTAGACAGTCAGCTAGCTAGTCAACTGTGAAGTGGCAAGAATGGTTTTAAGTTCTCTGCTGTTGTACTACAGTGGCATTCAAGTCACCCCGACATTGCCCTTAGCATTGCGGGTATGCTCCACTCATTTAACTGTCTGACTTTTTGTCTACTAGAGGAAAGAAAAAGGGGTAAAGGATAATAAGTTTGGGGAATTAAGGTGTAAACATTTCATGATGCAAAGAAAATATTTCCTAGAGAATTACGTTCCTTACTGATGGATAAGTGTAATCAAACCATTAAGAAAAGGCCCAAATTCGTATGGTGTTTCCTATATGGACCCTAACAATTTTGAGTATATTAAAGAGGTCCTGTTGGGGGCAAAAAATTCCGACGTTAGGTTCCCTCCAAATAGTTTTAAATAATAAATGGACCTAAATTCAGAAGTATTCAGAATATTATCAGAAAATGATGTGGCTGCCACCTATAGTAGCATAGAATTGAAGCTTCCTTGAAGTTTGTGCAGTGGTTGTGGTTCTTGCTTTATATATTGGTTGGTTGTGGTCCGTTTATATATTGTGTTATCCTGATGTGTGGATTCATTTCGTCTATTTTGTATTTATTCCTCTGGTGAAATTCAAATCCGGGATCGATCGGTTTATAGTCTGACACATCACCCATGCGGCTACAATCTTGAAAACTCATAAATTTGAGACGACCTTTTATATTTGATTAATGTCCAATAATGAACTTATATTGGCGAAAAATTCCGATGTTAGGTTCATCCAAATAGTTTTAAATAATAAATAGACCTAAATTCAGAAGTATTCAGAACATTATCAGAAAATGATGGGGCTGCCATCTATAGTAGCATAGAATCGAAACTTCCTTGAAGTTTGTGCAGTGGCTGAGGTCCTTGCTTTATATATTGGTTGTTTGTGGTCCGTTTATATATTGTGTTATGCTGATGTGTGGATTCACTTCATACATTTTTTATTTATTCCTCTGGTGAAATTCGAATCCGGGATCGATCGGTTTGTAGTCTGACTCATCACCCATGCGGCTACAATCTGGAAAATTCATAAATTGGAGACTACATTTTATATTTGATCAATGTCCAATAATTAACTTATATTGGCAAATATTTGTTAGGGGGTACCCGAATTTTAGTCATATATATTTGAAATGTGATATTAATCTTCCAATTCGCAAAATTAGAAGTATCATTTTAATTGGAAAACTCTGCGAAAAAAACGGGTCGAACTTTGCACACCCTCCACCATGAGGTAGACATCAGTATGTGGGGGCTATGCTGAAAACCAGTAAGGAAAATAATGAAGTCGGACTGGGACGACTATATGATAACCTTTACCACTACGGGTATATTCTACATATGTATCCTAATAGTTGTTCCCTCGAGGGAAGATTGACATGAAATTGAACTAATTTAAATATGTGATCTTTATCTATAAGTCAACCGACTATGGTACACAATTTGCATTATGTCTGACGAAAATATATATGGGGGCTAAATCTGAATAGATTTTTACAAAACTAGCACCCATCATTCTAGACTTAATTCAGTAAGCTATGCCGAATTTCTGAAACTGAACCGATTTCCACGAAACTTAGCACAC